ACAGAGAGCTTGCTTGGCAGGATTTGATGTCACCAACACTACAACTCCCCTCTCCCAGATTTCCTCGGCCTGTGACTGTGGAACCCATGGACCAGTTGGATGATGAAGAGGGACTTCCAGAGAAGCTGGTTATTAAGAATCAGCAATTTCACAAGTATGTAGTCTTGATAAGAATTCTTATTGAGTGTTTCTTTAAAAAATGTACTTAAAAGGTAGTGCAATGTCTGTAATTCACCGATTATCACTCCCCAAATGGTCACAACAGCCATGAGTTTGCTTGGCTGAAGTCAGGAGTTCAATCTGGGTCTCCCACATCATCTGCTACCTTCCTGTGTAGATTAGCAGGAAGCAGAGGAGCTGGAACTCTAGCTGGCAGCAGTGATATTGCTGCTGTGCTCACAAGTGGTAGCCTAAGCAGCTGTGCTACACTGGCTGTGGAAGCTTGTAAAGGGATTGATATTAAGAGATGGGCATTTGTTACATATGTCCACTAGCAGCCATTACCATGGACCTCAGAAGGAATATGATGTTTAATTGGGAGAATTTTGGCCAAAGTTAGTAATATAAGTTTTATATTTAGGGAGCGAGAGCAGCCACCCAGATTTGCACAGCCTGGCTCCTTTGAGTATGAGTATGCCATGCGCTGGAAAGCGCTTATTGAGATGGAGAAGCAGCAGCAAGACCAAGTTGACCGCAATATCAAGGAGGCGCGTGAGAAGCTGGAGATGGAGATGGAAGCTGCTCGCCATGAGCACCAGGTCATGCTGATGAGGCAGGGTGAGTATAGTTCTGTAAGTCTTAAAGCTAGAAAGAGAAAATGACCTTTTTAAGGAGTTTTCTTTGTGTCTGTCAGAAAAAGACATAAATCCCTGCTTTTATTTTTTTGAACTATTTTGTTGATCTTGGTAGGCACTGGGCTTGGAAGTGTGGCAGAAAATACTATATTCTGTCTAGAAGGAAATGATCGGCTTGACTCCATTTTTGGGATCTGGATACCTTGGATGGCCAATTAGGGATTATATCTTCTTTGCTTTCTGAATCTTTGTTTATGGAAACTTAGTGCGCCTCTGCATGAATGAGTAATACTCCAAAAACTGTTTTCCTAGATTTGATGAGGCGCCAAGAAGAACTCCGGAGAATGGAAGAGTTGCACAACCAAGAAGTACAAAAACGGAAGCAACTGGAGCTCAGGTAAGTCCTTTTCTCTACAGCTAGAAAAGGTAACGTCTCCTTGTTTCCAGCTATCATGTTGTTTGTAAATATGCCAACAAACATTTCCTGGCCACTTCTCAGGGTCTCAGGTTGGATGGGAGATGTTACAGTTGTCTGTGTTCCTAGGAATTACCTGGGGCTGCAATGAAGAAAAAGAGAAGCTGAGTGCTGCTCTTTTGAGGCTCTTGAGGGTTTATTTAGTTTCCCAGGAGCTACAGTGGTTTTTTAGTAGATTGATCATGACTCATTACCCTATTAAGTCTTCACAACTTCTGGAATGCTTTTGTCTGAAATATTCTGGTAACTATAGGCAGGAAGAGGAGCGCAGACGCCGTGAAGAAGAGATGCGACGGCAGCAGGAAGAAATGATGCGGCGACAGCAGGAAGGATTCAAGGGAACCTTCCCTGATGCGGTATATCTCATGTACCCATGATGTCCCGAGCCAGTCGTGATAAGACAAACCCACCATGAATTGTCTGCTTAGGACACCAGGTTATGACCCATTTTTCTATGCTGTGAAACTCCTTTTAGCAAAAATTCATAGGAAGGTGAGGTAAGGTTTGAAAGGGAGTTTTTGCCTCATGGGCAAATCAGGATAAAAAGCTGGGACTGCTGCCCACTGTCTTGCCCAGTGACTTGCAGGATGAGACGTGTTAAGTTCTGCAGCAGCCCTGTCTAGTCCTCTGCTGTCCTTGCAGTTTCATCAGTTAGAGCTTTAAATCTCTTTCTCTTATCTCTTCTGATTGCTAATAATAGATAATAGACAAAGTCATAGTAGCTTTATGACTTTGAATTCAATTTACAATTAGCAAGGAACCACTGTAGTGTTCTTCACCTTGGCTTCAGTGCTTTTATGATGCGTATGCTTCCCCTAGTGCGTAGTCCCTAAATGGATTAAGGTCAGATGAATGCCTTCTTGTCTTGAGTTTTGTTTTGTTTGTTTGTTTGTTTTTATTTTTCAGAGAGAGCAGGAGATACGGATGGGCCAGATGGCCATGGGAGGTAAGGACAGCACAAGTTTCACTCTGGTTTTCTTTTTTTGTCTTGCTTCTGGTGAACTATGTGGATTTTATACCATGTCCAAATTTAAGAGGCTGGCATTTCCAGGACCTTGAGAGAGACAGGAGAGAGAGAAAGAGTGTGTGTATGTGGGTGTGGGTGTGTGTGTGTGTAGGGTGTGGGAGCAGTGACAGTTCACAGGTCTTGTTGAATTGTTCCCTTTCGTATAGAATGAAATCATCTTGGATAGGTCTTCCACTTGCCAGTGGGTACATTTGCTCCCAATTCCAGCTTTCTGTTAACACATCATGGTAGGGAGCAAGTGAAGGTTCAAGTAGTTGGGGTCTGTCCACCATTGTGGGAGACCTAGATTGAGTTTTTGGCTATTGGATGTGGCCTGGCCATTTCTGGCTGTTACAGGCCTTTGGAAAATGAACCAGCAGATGGCACCTTTCTCTGTTTTCTGCCTCTCAGATGAATGTATTTTTTAAAAAGAGCCTTAGTAATCTCTACCCTGTGTACTAATCACACTACTCTGCTAGGTGCTATGGGAATAAATAACAGAGGTGCCATGCCACCTGCTCCTGTGCCAGCTGGAACCCCAGCACCTCCAGGACCTGCCGCTATGATGCCAGATGGAACCTTGGGATTGGTAATAAATTGCAGGGTTTTTCGTACAGTAAATAGTGGGAAGAGGAAGGGTTTGCTTTCACAAATATTGTGTCTTTTTCTTTTTCTTTTTTTTTTTAAAGATTGATTTGTTTATTGCAAAGTCAGCTATACAGAGAGGAGGAGAGACAGTGAGGAAGATCTTCCATCCAATGATTCACTCCCCAAGTGAGAGCAACGGCCGATACTATGCTGATCTGAAGCCAGGATCCAGGAACTTCTTCTGGGTATCCCACACGGGTGTAGGGTCCCCAGGCTTTGGGCCGTCCTCGACTGCTTTCCCAGGCCACAAGCAGGGAGCTGGATGGGAAGTGGAGTTACCGGGATTAGAACTGGCGCCCATATGGGATCCCGGGTGCGTTCAAGGCAAGGACTTTAGCTGCTAGACCATGCTGCTGGGCCCATATTGTGCCTTCTTAATCTTGCTATAGATAAGTAAGCAGTCCTTAGGACTACTGATATTCATGAAATGTAGCTATGTTTTTTATTTTGTAAATCTCAACCAAACTCACTGACTGGCTGCTACACTGGGTTGTTTCTTGGCAGGAACTCAGTGAGGGCTTTGTATTATTGCATAAAGTAGATTTGTATCTAAAGAATGAGTGTGTTAATACAGTCCTGAGATTGCTTTGGTTCTGTTATCAAAACTGGGTAGTTCCAAAACTGGATAGGTCTATGTTGCAGAAGACTGTCAGTCTGCCATTGTCTGAATACCTAGCTTGGGGGAAAGGTTGTGGCAAGAATTTATGCAGCACTGGGATTTTAATATGTGACTGCTTAGTAGATGGGAACTTAGAATTTAAAAGTTAGGATAAGTGGGTGGGTTACTAATTCAGGTATCCTCCTTTTTGGGCTATCTGCTAGGGTTCTAAAAAGATTGGATCATCCAACCTCTTAGCATCATGAGGCTTAAGTATTTGAATAGAAATGGCCTCCAGTAGAGGGTCAGGCTACAAAGGATTGGGAAGTTAGATCATGATTCATTTAACATTTCTTTCCTTTTCTCCTAAGACCCCACCAACGACTGAACGCTTTGGCCAAGCTGCTACAATGGAAGGAATTGGAGCAATTGGTGGAACCCCTCCTGCATTCAACCGTGCAGCTCCTGGAGCTGAATTTGCTCCAAACAAACGTCGCCGATACTAATAAAGTTGCAGTGTCTAGTTTCCCAAAACCCTTTAAAAAAATGACCCTTTTTGGACTAGCCAGAATTCTACCCTGGAAAAGTGTTGGGGATTCCTCTCAATAGTTAGGACTTTCCCACCTGTACTACTTGAGGGAGTATACTGGAGGCAGAGGGCAAGGGAGGGGTTGGTATCTAACTGGTTTGCTTCATCAGTTTTGTGTGGTGCATTCCTGAAGTCTCAAATGTAACTGCTGAGGGTCTGGGGAACTGTGACAAAATGGATCCAGTTAGAACCCCATTAATCTTGATCATTCCGGTTTTTGTCCATTCTGTTTTATTTGCTTTCTCATCCCTACATCACTTCCTCCCCTACAAGCTCCAGAGACACTGCCACACACACCACAAAAACAAAACATCCCCCAATGACCTTAGCCCCATTGCTTCATTCCCAGGTGAGAATTCAGGCAAATGTCCACAGAGGTCTCAGCTTATACATGGTTCTGTTCTATCCCAATATATTACCCCATCATGTCCTAAGGTTAAGACATTTTCTCTTAGAGATTTTCATTTTAGTATATCTTTAAACAGTTTTGTGTTAACTTGCCTCCATCTTTTTCTTGGGTAAGAGCAACTCAAGAATGGCGCTTTTGTGTCTTTTGATGTTACTATTCACAGCTTTTCGTGATAGGCTTAGTACAATCTTGGGAACAGGGTTGCTGTATGCTGAAGGTCTGACAGTAGCTCTTAGCATTGCCTATCTTAGGTAGTACGCTGTGCATTTTCTATTGATGTGTCCACAGTTGATTTGTCCCTGATACATTAAATTTGGAGTTTTTCTGAGAAATGGAGCAGTAATGCAGCATCAACTTATTAAAACACATTTTAAGCCTTTTAATTTTTTTGTGCTATTTTTGAAGGGGAAGGGTGGGGAGGGGTGTTCTGTTTTTGGAAATGAGCAGTAGGCTCTGTAAGAGTTGATCCGTTATGACCTTGTGGTTATTAGCCATCTAGGCAAACCTGGAGAAGATTTGGGATTAGATACACACTATGGTTTATGTATTAGGCAAGAAAGTACTGTTTCACTACATCGAAATGACAGGAAAGCTCTTGAAAAGAAGAAATTGGACTGGAGGGATTGGCATGCCTTCATTGAGCCATGGGAGGGGTCCCAATTGGTATTTGTTTCTGGACAGCTGCTTATATGTCAGAGGCTTGGAATTGGCAACAGCTAAAACAGTCTCCGCAGTGGTTTGCTGACCTCACCCAAGTTCCACAGCCCTACTCTGCCTGATCCTTTTTTCTTGAGCTTGAGAGCTAAAATGCTCCTAAGCTCTTTTCTATTGGCTGGGAAGACCAATTGAAGTTCCCTTTCCCATGTTAGGAGGTATACGCCTCCCGAGTTAAAGATAGAAACAGCTGGCCTTTCCAGGCAGCTAAAAGCCTTCAGACTAAGAGGAGTTCCCCATTCAGCTGCCAGACTCCTTGAAATACCCTTTCAGTAGTTCTACCAACGCCTCCATGTCTCGTCTCTGCCATAACAAAGGCTGTGGGCAACACTTTGACCCCAGTGCCAACCTTCCTGGTGAGTAAATAATCCTAACCTGGCCAGGGGTTCTGGGTGAGATTTAAGGGGTGGTCAGCTGTGGGGCATTATAAAAGGAGCAAGGAGGAAAAAAATCATGTAATTAGTATGACCTTTATATTGTACTGAAAAAAGCCATAAGCAAACCTGGGGAGTATTAGGTTGGTAGTGACGTTCTCTTAACCTTTATACTGATACCCACAGATTCCTGTTGCCATCACCCTGGGGTCCCAATCTTCCATGATGCACTTAAGGTGAGGAGTAGGTGAGGGAAACAGCATTGTTCCAAAGGAAATTACCCAGGATTCTGCTGAACTGGATTTCTTATTATTAGGGTTGGTCATGCTGCCAAAAACGAACTGTAGATTTCTCTGAATTCTTAAACATCAAGGTAAATTGTTCGCTTCCATGTATTCTGCCCCCTACCTGCTTCCCCGCCCCCAAGAGGATTCTCTTTCTAACCCTTATCTCCTTATCTGCACTAGGGCTGTACTATGGGACCACACTGTGCTGAGAAGCTTCCTGAGGCCTCTCAACCTGAGGGCCCTGCTACAAGCAGTTCACTTCAGGAACAAAAACCTCTGAATGCAATTCCAAAGTCAGCAGAGACCTTGCGCCGTGAGAGGCCCAAGTAAAGAGGAAGCCCCTGGGTTTTCTTACGTTCATGCAGCTTCCTGGGGTGACTAGATCATTAGGAATTGGAAACTGGGGACAAGAGACAGGAGATGGGTCAGGCATTAAGGGCTTGAATGATCTATATTATACTCTTGAGTTAGGATGATGAGGTACATAACTTGAATTACAAGAGAGGGGTGCTCACCAATACTTAAGTCTATTATACAAAACGGGTTGCTGAGAATGAGGATTATTTTTCCTGATAGAAAAGAACTGCAGTATCAAAAGGAAGTAATAGTGACAGGAGACTACAAAGAATAGTTTTACGAGAATAATGTGAGCAACAGAATTAGGCCAATTAGATGAAGAAGACATAATAAAAGTAGTGCAGAGAAATGTTAGATGGGGCAAGAGTTGCCCTAGGGATTTCCTTAGGGTTCAGGCACTTGGCATGTGTAACAGTGTAGTTGCTACACAGCTTCTCCAACCATGCCACATCACTAGACTTGACTGCATTACAAGTGAGTGTTGGAACTGGAAGCCATGGTTAATGGGTCAGTAAATCCTTTACTGGTAATTTCTAGGTCAGAGTTACCTCTGAAGCTGCTGCCACTAAACATTTCCCACACTCTGGAAATGGCATTGGAACAAAAGGAACTAGACCAGGAACCTGGGGCAGGTAGGTGTGTCCTTAGTAGGACAGACCTCAGGCTAGAATTCAGTGGAATTGGGAAAGAGGGATGGCTAGCTTCCTGACTGTGTTTCACTTGCCCAGGACTTGACAGTAATCTGATCCGGACTGGTTCCAGCTGCCAGAACCCAGGATGTGATGCTGTGAGTGAATGTTTTAATTGAAGCATGTGAATGAGATGCTGTGTCTAGGGAAGAGTGGGTGTGTAAGTAGGAAGCCAAATGGGATGTACCTTACAAAGAATTGATTCTTTTCCTGACTCTCCTTTATCCTTAGGTTTACCAAGGCCCAGAGAGTGATGCTACTCCATGTACTTACCACCCAGGAGCACCTCGATTTCATGAGGGGTGAGAGAGAAAGTTGGGTGGGCTGTGTGATAGATTTCTGCAAATGTTGATCATAAGGGTGGGAATTTGGGTCTGGCACGGTAGACTAACAGCTAAAGTCCTCACCTTGCATGCTCCCACATCCTCACATTGATCCCATATGGATGCTGGCTCCCATCCAGCTCCCTGCTTGTAGCCTGGGAAAGCAGTCAAGGATGGCCCAAAGCCTTGGGACCCTGCATCCACCTGGGAAACCTGCAAGAGGCTCTGGGCTCCTGGCTCTTCAGATTGGCTCAGCTCCGGTCATTGTGTCTGCTTGGGAAGTGAATCATTGGAGGGAAGATCTTCCTGTTTCTCATCCTCTCTGTATATCTGCTTTTGAAATAAAAATAAATCTAAAAAAAAGAAATCTTTTAAAAATGAGGGAAAGGGAATTTAGTTGAATTATCTTCTATCTTAGGATGAAGTCTTGGAGCTGTTGTGGTATCCAGACCCTGGATTTTGGGGCATTCCTGGCACAGCCAGGGTGCAGAGTTGGTAGACATGATTGGGGGAAGCAGGTAAGACCAAATTTTGCTGAGCTATTGCTATTTCTCAAAAGAAACTCTTTCCTGTACCTCATGGCCAACGTCCCAGGTTTCTCTTTAATATGGACCAAAGAAATTATGCTTCCTATTCTTCAACATCCAGAGGCTCTGTAATATGAAGTAGGATTAATCTCTCTGACATTTTATGTCTTCTCTACACACGTAAGAACTGCCCTTGAGTTACGAGTTCCTTATCCACATTTTATATCCTTTCTTTAGCTGCCAGCATCTTGCCGCCATGATTGGCACCAGACAGAATCCTTAATTGTGGTGACTATATATGGCCAGATTCCACTTCCTGCATTCAACTGGGTGAAAGCCAGTCAAACTGAGGTGAGAAATGTTCTTGAACTGGATGGAGTTGCTGTGTGTAGTTTACCTCATAGGTTCCTTCGTTTGCTGAAAAGAGTGATTAGCTCAGGGTTAACTGCCTAGTCTGTAGATCTTATCTCTGGTTCTATCATAATTACTTGTTTTTAGTTACTACCCATATAATTCTTTTCTTGTAGCTTCATATCAACATTGTTTTTGATGGCAACCGGGTGTTTCAAACACAGATGAAACTCTGGGGGGTAAGTGAAGAGCAGGGGTCAGAGGAGGGGGAGGCAAAGAGTGAAGAGTTCAGATTTGAATTAAATGGAGGGTATCTTGAGGGAAAGAGTTGTAGTGGGAAAAGTAGAGATTTTCTCTTATTTGCTTTCATGTTCTCTCTGTCCCACCCCCACACTCCTCCTGTTTTCTCATTCCTCTTGGCCCTCTCCTCCTTATATTGTCTTTTTTCCACCTTTAAAAAATCTTTCTCTTTTATCACCGCTCCATCTTGACCCCACTCCCTTTGATTTCTTCATTCTATCTTCTGTGTTATTCTATCTCTCCCTCTTCTTCAGGTCATAAACGTGGAGCAGAGCTCTGTCTCTTTGATGCCAACTCGGGTTGAAATCTCCCTGGTCAAGGCTGACCCAGGATCCTGGGCCCAGCTGGAGCACCCTGATGCACTAGCTGAGAAGGCTAGGTCAGGGGCTGTGTTAGAGATGGATGAGGAAGAATCTGAGGATTCAGATGATGATCTGAGCTGGACAGAGGAGGAGGAGGAGGAAGAAGAGGAGGAAGCAATGAGGGAATAGTGACACGACACAACTGACTGTCTAGATGGGACCTAAATGACTGTTAGAATCTCAGAGAGGAGGGTATGCCTGGTCATGTGTTACTGAGCAATAGGAGGCTAAAGGAGGGGAGAACAAAATTGTTCAAACTATGCTGGGTTTTTTTTTTCCCTTAAATAAATCTTGTATTCTACAGTTTCACATAGTGTCATTCTCTCACCTCATTAAGATCCTGTTCATTCTCCCAACTACTGTATACACTTTACGCATACGTGAAAGCAAGCACCATACCCAGTCTATTCTTCACTACCACCAGGTATTTACTGAGTACTGTATCCAGTCTTGTGTTAGGGGATTTAGATATATCTGAGAAACACAAGATTGACTTGTTCTTAGGAAAATGGCAGTCTGGCTGACAAATCAAGACTAATCTACATGAAATAATAAGCATTATCAGGTAGCCTGAGTACTAACTGCTACAATGGTTTATATGAGCTGAAAGAATGAGATAAAGAATGGAGAGCTTGATGTAGGCCATGATAAAAAAGGTCAACACTCTGTGGAAGAAGTGCATTGTTTTTGCACCTTCATTAAGATACAGTTCACATACACATATTTCACCAATTTGAAGGGTTAAATGTATGTCATTTTTGGTATACTCAATTATGCAATTACAATCAATTTTGGGACACCGTTACCGCTCCACAAAGCTTGTATCCACTGACAGTTATCTTCAGTTTCTTTCCAAATACACAGCCCTAAGCAACCACTAATTTACCTTATGCTTATGACTCTGTCTACTCTGGACATTACACATAAATGTAATCATAGAATAAGTGGTCTCTCATGTCTGGCTTCTCTCTCTTACCATAATCTTATTAAGGTTCATACATATTGTAGCATATATCAGCACTTCATTTCTTCTTATGGAGAAATGTATTCCATTATGTTGAGGGACATTTGGGTTATTACTATTTCTTTTGCCTATTATGGCATCATTTTGATACAAATATTTGTGTCCAACTTTTTTGTGATTATGTTTTAGGTCCTCTTGGGTCTGTGTCTAGGAGTGTAAATTTTGGGTGAAATAACTATCTGTAATCCCAGGAACTGTCAGATGATTTCAAAATAGGCTGCACATGCACCTGTAAGAGGATTCCAATTTCTTTGTATCCTCATTAGTACTTGTAATCTCTTTTGACCATCTTAGTAGATGTGCAATTGTAACTCAATGTGAATTTGATTTGTATTTCCCCAGTGGTAAGTGGTTGAGCATCTTACTGTGTGATTATTGGCTGTTTGTGTGATATTCTTTGCCTATGCGTTAATTCAGATATTTGTCTTTATTGTTGAGTTGCAAATGTTCTTTATGTGTTCTGGAGACATGTCTCTTGTCAGATATGGATTGAAATATCTACTCAATTTGTGTAGGTCATTTTTCTGCTTCTTTTATGGTGTCCATAAAAAAATTGGCTTTGACAAAATCCAATGTATCTTTTCTTTGGTTGCTTGTGTTTTTGATATCATAGCCAAAAGACTGTTAACGGTCATGAAGATTTGCCATGGTTTTCTTCTGAAAGATTTATTTATTTTTATTGGAAAGTCAGATTTATGGACAGACAGAGAGAAAGATCTTCCATCCACTGGTTCACTCCTCAAGTGAACTAAGTGGTCAGAGCTGAGCAAATCCAAAGCCAGGAGCCAGGAGCTTCTTCTGGTCTCCCATGTGAGTTTAGGGTCCAAAGGTTTTAGGCTGTCCTTGACTGTTTTCCTAGGCCACAGGCAGGGAGCTGGGTGGAAAGTGGAGTAGCCAGGATAGTGGAAAGTGGAGTAGCTGGCACCCACATGGAATCCCAGCACATGCAAGGCGAGGACTTTAGCCACAAGGCTACCATGCCTGTCCCTAAAGATTTTTCTTTCTCAGAGTTTAAACACACAACTACATTGAGACAGGGAGACATCTTCCTTTTGCTAGTTCACTCCCCAAATGGTGCAATGGCCAGAGCTGCCCTGATTCAAAGCTGGAAACAATTTGCTTCTTTCTGTGTCTCTGACTGATCTTCCACTGATTTCCCAGGCCTTAACAGGGAGCTGGATCAGAAGCTGGGACTTGAGAAAGTACCCAGATAGGATGCCAGCACTACAGGTGGAGGCTTAGCCTATCTATGCCATGGTACAGGACCCTAAATTGATTTAATTTTTAACTGCAGTGTGCAGGGAGAGGGCCAACATTTTAAAAAAATATTTATTTATTTTTATTGGAAAGTCAGATTTTCAGAGAGGAGAGACAAAGATCTTCTATCTGCTGGTTCACTTCCCAAGTGGCCACAACAGCTGGAGCAGAGCCACGTGGGTTCAGGGTCCCAAGGCTTTGGGCCATCCTTGACTGCTTTCCCAAGCCACAAGCAGGGAGCTGGAAGGGAAGTAGAGTAGCCAGCATTCACACTGGCACCCATTTGAGATCCTGGAGCATGCAAGACAAGGACTTTAGCCACTAGGCTACCATGCCAGGCCCAGTGCCAACCCTTTCTTTGAAGAATTTGTTTAAAAGAATTATGGCACGACAGAGAAATATTTTCAAAATGCTAGTACACTCTCCAAATGGCTGTAAGTGCTGGAACTGGAGGTGTGGCAAAGACAGGAGAGCCAGGATCTTTCTTCCAGTTCTCCCATGTGGTACAGGGTACCAAGGACGTATGCCCTCCTTTGTAGCTTTCCCAGGCCATTATATTAGCAGGGAGCTAGATCAGAAGTGCAGCAGTCAGGACTCAAACCTGTGCCCGTATGAGATGGTAGTTCCACTGGTAGTGGGTTAGCCTGCTATGCCATGGAGTCAGTCCCAAGAGGGCCAGTTGCAAAGACTATTTCCACATTGGATTATTTTGGCACCTTAGTTGAAAAATGAATCAACCATAAATGTGAGAGTTAAGAAATACATTTTGGATGGAGATTTGGAGAGTAAGAAATTTAAATAGGTATGGAACAGTAGTAGGGAGAGCCAAGGTCTAGGGGTAAAAGTGTTGTAGTTACCTTTTGAGTTTTAAGCCCCAAAAGTAATATAATTTTACTTTTAAAAGGTCAATGTCAAAATATGTAAGGTGAAGAAATATTTTCAGATTATCTAGAAGCTTAGTCCTTTTGCTGTTTGTAACCACCTGCGTGGGAGACCAGAATGACGCTTCTGGCTCCTGGTTTGGGGTTGAGTCAGTTCCAGCCACTTGGAGCGTGAACCAGCGGACAGAAGATCTCCTTCTCTGTCTCTCCTCCTGTGTATCTCACTTTGCAATAAAAAATAAATGTTGAAAAAAGAATATATTATAAAAAATTTGTTTTTTGTTTATCTATAGCCAAAAAATAGATTCAGTAGCCAGGATTGAGTTAAGCTGAAGTAAGGAGCCTGTAAGTCCATCCAGGTCTCCCAGTTGAGTGGCAGGGTCCCAAAGACTCCAGCCATCATTGCCTGCCTTCCAGAGTGCATGTTAACAGGAAGCTGGGATTGAAACTTGGAGCCAGGACTCGAACTCACTGTGTCTGACATGAGGTGTGAATATCCCAATTGGCATCTGAACTGCCCTGCCATTCATTTCCCCTATTCATGTATTGCTTTATGTAACAAAATCTGAAGATTTTGGTATGTGCAGGAGGGCCTGGATATAGACACTGAGGGATAATGGTATAGACCTTTTAAGTGCAAAGAGAACTGGGGAGGCCGGCAGTCGGGGTTCTCTCCCTTCAAATGCTCTCAATAGCCCGAGCTGTGACCAGGCTAAAGCCTCCCACATGAGTGCAGGCTCCCAAGGCTTTGGGTCATACTCCATTGCTTTGGCACTCCACAAGCAGGGAGTTGGATGGGAAATGGAGCAGCCGGGAAATGAACAGGTGCCCATATGGGATCTCTGTGCTTGGAGATGGAGGATTAACCAGTTGAGCCATTGGATCAGGCACACATGTGCCACCCCCCCTTGCCTTTTTTAAAAATTTTTTTTTTATTATATTTTTTTACAATCTTTACATAGTGAATTAGGGGGGAAAAGGTTCAAGGGCTATAGGGAAGGGGTAAGACTATTATTTCCATATTGTTTCCTTCATGTATCTGAGGTAAAAGGGGATTTTAAGGGAGAAGCCCCACCCAGTTTCCCACCCACCCCAAGTCCCGGATGTGGGGCATGCTCCGAGATACTTGCTCAAGTGGTTTTGACAGTTCACCATTTATGAATCGCTGCCAATCTCGCCACTCCAAGCACGATGAGGTCATTGAAGAATCCACTGGTTGACTTAGTCCAGCATGGAGTCTCCATTTGCCCAGTATTTCACTGCCAACGTATAGCCGAGATGGTTGATTGACTTGTTCTGTCTTATGTCTTTTCATGGTTAGGGTTCTGAGTCCGGCATTTCCTTTGGAGAGATCCCCAAAGAAACTTTGAGGTATTCCCAGACCAGATTCTTGTGTGTTCTAGCAAGCACAGGGCCCGGGACAGTCCATTGCCCCAATAAGCTGGTGGTTGCAATTGCTGGGTTGGTTCTGTTTTCAGTCCCGACTTCGACTGGAACCAGTGGGTTTTGCAGTCCAGCCTGGTTCTGCCCAGCACATACTCGGCCCTCACATAAACCAGTGGGAGCTGCAGCCTAGTCAGAGCGACCCACAATAAACCCCCTCCAGGCCAGCCCTCTACCCTGGTTTGCCAGTCTGTGTAGCAGACTAGTTCAGTCTGTCCCACATCCCATTTGGCTCTCATACATGTCTGGGTGTTGAAGCTTAGTTCTATCCAACCAGGCTCAACTATCAGGCCCTCATGGATGTTGTTGAGTGCCTATCTATCTAGCCACCCCAGCCCCCTTCCTAGTTTTCGTGCCCTCCAGTGGGAATGGTAATCCAAGAGGGAGGATCCCACTATTTCCCTCCCAGGTCTCTCTCACGCCTGGATTATGCACTCTTCAGGTGGTTCCGTGGTTTGACTTGTCAGAATTAGCCTCCAGTGCCAGCCTATGCCACCTGATGCTGTGGCTAAGCCCAAACAACCCTTGCCCACTCTAATTTATGTTTAGTAGGAACAATCAGCCCAGCCTGGCTTGTCCCTGATCTAGTCCACATGAGGCGCACAGGTGTTGTAGCCTTGCTTAGTCTGGTCTGCCCCCATCCCAGCCCATGCTCTCCAGCGGGAGTAGCTGTCCGGCAAGAGGACCCTCCCCTTATTTCCCCT